CCGAAGGGAGACATTGACCTTTCGAACTCTTTTCTCTTGCTGAAATTCTCGCGTGAGCATATTGTTCTCTTCGACAGGCTCGTGGTTTATCGCTTTTCCCTGCCGCGGGATGAGACGTTATTCTCTCTTAGCGACAGAAATCATGGATCTCCATCGATTGGTATATCACTATATTGGCTATATCTTGTTAAAAATGTTTTGCAATTATTTTATTTATGGATTTGTTTTTACGTTACTTTTTATTTTTACATTTATTTCTACATTTTTATGTTATTTTTTATTACCATTTTCACATTATAATTGATGTTACGTTTTATCTTTCACTGTGATTATGAATTTTTATACATGCACATTTAATTTTTAAGTTTCTAAGGTTTTATCGATGATACAATATTAATAATAATAATAACGACAATGATTTTGGTTTGTTGTAAATCGATGAAATTTTAATAAACTTTATATATTTTTTGTGGACTTCTACAATAACAAATATTACAATAAAAAGTTCTGGGACATTATGTCAATAGATCATGTCACATGTGTATAAAATACATATGTTCGCTCGTATATAAAGGGATAGATCTATTCTATAAATCTATTTTATCTTAATCCTTTCATCTCTGTTATAAATCCAGCAAATATCCATCTTGTTTACCGTAGCAAATTTTAAACAATAAACTGGAATAAATTCTAATCTGTCCTTTTTTTACTTTTTGATTTATTTTTATACTACGAAATATTATCTCGTTTGTTTCTAAAAACCATTCTTTTTTTAATTATATTATCTATTATATGTATTTATATGATTATATTTTTTATTGTTTTATTTTCCTTGAAAATGTAGGTTTGAGTTAATCTAACAAATTTTTTATTTATATTTTTTACCGTCTTGGCAATTTTATGGATATTTTGGTAGATTTTTAACATTCTGAAGGTGGCAAAGTACCTTTCTCATGGCAAACAAAGGCAAAACTCCATTGGGATTGTCGATTTTTACATATTCATTTTTGGGTAAAGATCTCTAAAACAGAGAACAGGCGGAAATTTGCCGTAGCCCACATCCGCGCTTTTTACACAAGAGAGGCAAAAAGATGTTGATCGTCATCGTAAATTGACGCTCGTAAAACCGTTCGACTTTAATGCAGCTTTTATGGAGTTTCGACGTGTAGTTGAATTCGCCTCCTCCGCAAGATATTAGTACTAGTTTCTCTTGATTCTGTTTCAACAGTTCGATATATCTATTATTTCCAGTAATTCGTAAAATTTAACAAGGATATAAAAATAAAACATGTTCCATGAAAAAAAGAACTTTTATAAAACCTGTATAAGAATAAAAAAGAGCGTAACACATAAAAAATGAGCATATAAAATCAAATTTTTATAGTTTATATACAGTGAGTGCAAAAAGTATTCGTACAGAGAAAATATCTTTTTAAAGAAATTTTATTTTTAAAAAGTAAATATTATCCAACGCGAGAAATGAGTTATTGAATTGATGTCGAATCAATATCGACACGATGATTTCAACATCAATTTGACATCGATTCTACGTTTAATTTACGATCATTTCTCACTGGATTATTAATAATTTATTCATAAAGATTAAAATAGACCGTATGTTTCAAAAAATTGTATATACCAAAAAGATGTGTGTTAATTATAGAAAATATATATTATCTGAAGAATAAGTGAAAATTAAAAGTTGTATTGTTTTGATGCTCAAAAAATATTCATACAGTTGAGAAATTTAGCTTCTAAAATCAGGAATACATGTGAATCTCATTTATTTATATTAGAACAAAATATATTTATGGTATAAAATTGCTAATTAATGTTTACTTTCTACAAATAATACTTTTTTTTAGAAATAATTTTCTTGTATGTTAATATTTTTTACACTCACTGTATATATTATTTGGAATATCTAAATAATAATATATTTTTTAAATAATGCGTTTAAAAATAAGTTTTTGATATTTGTTATATTCATTTTTTACTTTGATCCTTTGTTTTACTAATTTTATTGATTAAATTTGAAACTTTCTCAATGCAACGAGTATAATATTTTTAATTTAAAAATATTCTTATCTTTCTAAATCTCATAAGTTTATAAATCCTATAGTAGGCGGGAAATATAACGATACTTTTGGATCGCAAGTTGATCGGTTCACTAACCTCTGCCGTCCGAAATATGCGGTCGGTTCCGCGTTCTACATATATCGCGATATGTAATTATTCTGAAGTCTACACTCGAGATAGCATGCGTTACACGCGGTACGATCTTGTCGGAATTAGGCCGCCCACGTTCGCTCATCGTCGACACGTCGAAAAAGCGCTATAAAAGCTTTCAGTGGCCAGATGGTCACCGGTTGCGCAAGCTCTCTCTCGTGTCTCCTCTCTCCTTGTTCTTTCTCTTCTTTTCGTCTTCATTTTTTTTTGTCAATATATCTTCCCGTTTCTGTGAGAAATGCGAGAGCAATTTTAGTTCGCGAGATGACATATATGCATAATATCATTTAAGAAAGTAATATCTATTTAACATAAAATATTTCTGATAACAAAATACATAGATGAATATGTTTATCTAAATTTGAAAGAGGAATCGAAGAAAAAGATGTAATTTTACATCGCGGAATTCGGAGTTAGAAATGTAAAACACATATGTTCTTTTGGGAAGATCTCTTCTAAATATCTTTCTCTCCTCTTTCTCTTTTTCTCTCTCTCTCTTTCTAATTAAGGAAAGATTAATTACCATCTACTCAATAACCTAAGAAGGGGAAGAATACTGGGATCGAGATCGAGCAATGCAGGGATTCCAAGAATTAGATACTGACTGCTTCCTAGAAACGAGACATGTTGTATAATATAATACGTATATACAATATATATATGTATATATATATGTATATGTTGTTTTTTCATAAATATAACATGAATGATTTCATTGATGTGTTGATCGGAATAATTTCGAAGAAATATTTAAGAGTAAAACCGATATTTGAGTTCACAAATATTGTTTGGAATAATCATTCTTTTTGGTCTCATTAAAAAAAATTAAATTTATTTTTATAGCAACAAGGGCATACAATCAAGGGTCCCTTTTCCATTTTAATAAGCTTTAAATATGTTAAAATATTGATAATAAGAAACACCTATTTTTTTACAAGTCCTTTTCGACACGTCTCAAAGTGATATCATCCTCTCTTGAAAAAATTGTTTTTTTTCTTCTTGAAAGAATTTATATAGAAAAATATACAAAATTATGTAATAAATAAAACATATGTATGTTATGATAATATTATGTTATTTTTGCCTGCTTTTCAAAAATCATCGAATACATAATATTGTATAAAAAATACTGTATGATAATCGTGATATTAATATGCAGATAAAATTAACCGAAATTACATACATATTTATACTTAACTGGATAAAATATATTTGATTCTCTTTCTCACTTCGATTCACGAAAATCTTTTTAACTTGAAAGTGTGTATTCTCGTTCTGGGTTGAACACATTTTGTGCACTCTGTTTCGGGGAAAGATCTTGGATAGAGAAAATCGGTCGAATACTGGAGTCCGAATGTGCCATACGTCAAAATCAAACGATTCCTATTTATAAGTTTAACGGCGCGGTAAGCCAGCGGCGGCTTCGATCGGACACCTGTTTTCATTCAAATAAACGCGAAAAGGCGATTCGATTATTATTTCAAACTGCAATGCTGCCAGTAAATCTTAGACATTGCCGCCTGCAAATTTGCGAGTAATTTACTATTTTGTATCATCTTTCGACCAAAAATGTACAAATATTAAAGAAACGCTAGAATTTCTAACGCAAATTTAATTGACTTTAAAACTTAAATTAATAATATTTTACCAGAAACGTCATTTAATCGAACTTAAGTTGTGAAGTTACGTTTATTATTTTTTCTTTTTTTTTTCTATATTCGTGAAATACGTTTTTGTATATTCTGCTTTAAGATTTTTATATCAAAAGGCTTAAATAAAAAGAGTCTCATAAATATGTACATATGTAGAACTTACGCATAAAAATAAAATCAATGTATTTATAAACTCTTAATGTATTTATAAATATGAGAAATATATATTCTTAATTTTGAGATATAATTTTATACAAATCGAGATTTTATTCTTCTTCAGTTTTGAAATCAAAGTGCAACTGCTAGAATATCTGAGCATCAAAAGCAAGAAGAAAAAGAGAAAACACACAAAAGTGTGTTTGCTTAAGCTCTCTTTCGTTTCGAGCTCATCCCACATCTTCCACCTTGGCGCATATAGGTCACTGAGTGCCGAGAGGACCCTTTGTCACGCGCGAGCATGTGGGCCCCGAAAGATCTCAAGCCTGAGGAAGTTGTTTCTTCTTTTTCATTCTTCTTTTTTTGCTCGCGAGCAGAAACGAACGAAAGAGGAGGAGGAGGAGGAGAAGGAGGAGGAGGAGAAAGAGGAGAAGGAGGAGAAAGAGGAGGAGGTGAAGAAGCAAAAGGAGGAGGAGGAGAGGAAGGAGGAGAAGGAGGAGGAAGAGGAGGAGGAGGAGAAGGAACTGAGTGGAAGGTCGAGAAAGAGGAGGAGTTACAAGGGCATTAGGCCCCCCCGAATACGGAACGGTAAAATTCTTACGAAACACCCGCATGTGCAGAGAGCGAAAGGGAAAAGAGGCCCTCCTCTGCTATTGAGCAACTTCGCGACTAGCTGGAGAATTTTGTGTCTCCGATAAAAGGTTTAACCTTCGAGAATACGTGTTCGCCATTGATCATAAATATTTTCTAAATTTTTGATACCTCTATTTTTCATTCAAAAATAAAATTCGTTATCCAAGTGCTAGTGTTCTTAATTAATTTAGATATTTTTAGAATATTCTAGTTTACTCTAATGTATATTTCACAATTACTGATATTTAAATCGAAGTTCAAATTGATTCACAATATTCTATGCTAATATTATAATGTTGAATTTGCTTGTACAAATATACGAAACAAATGCAAGAAGAGCGAAATAACGACCGGCCGGAAGTTGAAACTTCTCTCCGAGAGGATTGTCAGCGAACGCAGTGATGAGCCATGTCGCGGAATCTCAATGCGTTTGCGCTTCGAAGAAAATATGTATCTTAATGCTATCTTTAATGATTTATTCACGGAGATAAAACAGCGCCACGAGTGCCAGCGCGATTGAGAGGAATGTAGCGAATTGAGGTCGAAGCGAAGTGGAAGACGCGAGAAGCGCGAGATGTAAGAGTGTCGAGAGCTTGAAGATGATGAAGAACGACATGTACATATGTAAGCATTAATTGAATCGCGCATTACGTAATTCAAGGAGAAAAATTTTGACAAAGTATCTTCTTTTATAAAACAATTACAGATTTTTGTTTACAATTGTAAAAAATTTTCTATATTCCAAGACGCAAACGTATATATATGTCGAGTGAAATTAAATGTCCTTTAAAATGTAACGAATTCTTCAACATAATAGTTTGATTTTTTGAGAAAATTGGACATGAAATATGAATAAAATTCCATCGAGACCATATGTGATCAATGCGTACAGATCAATACTCGAAAGCTATATAAATCGGATTTAAATTTATTCATGATCAATATATCTCTATACGAAGTCGCTGATCACGATTCATTACCGTTATCTGATAGGGTAATGTTAATCGATGATTTATAAGATGTGAAAGACTGTGAAAGTAGCAGAACGACGAGTTGTTAAATATGGAAGTCGATAGGAATTGAAATAAATTTCTTAAATTGAACGCAACTGTATGCATATTTATTCATATTTTTATAATTACAATAGTAAAGTATTTAATAATTTAATGTGACTTTCTTTTTATTTAGATCATATTTTTTTCATGCGTACGATTCATATTTTTTTATTGCATACGATTTTATAATGTAATATAATATGTAACCCCCATAGTTACATGTTGTAATGTTGATGTTTAAAATTGATATATTCAGAGATATTCTAAACTCTTTATTTTAATAGCGATCTAAATTTATCGGTAAAACGCTATGATTTTTCTACACATTTCCAGCGTTATGTAATCCTTTCATTAATAGTCTGCGCTTGTAAAAATATTGAAAGTATAATGAATACCCGGTGTATCTGGTGCATGAAAAATGTGCGAGGAAATTCGTTGTGGGTGGGCCGAGCAAGCAAGCGGGCGAGCACGAACTAAAAGGTTGTCAATCCCTGTCAAAAGTAATTTTGATAGGCACGTCCACCAGAGATCGGTCAAACGCGACTAGACAGATAATAATCAGCCCATTTTTTTATGACTAACGCAATATAGCGTCGAAAGAGAAATAACGTACGGAAATTCTTGAATTTAATTGAAAAAATTAAAAATAAAATTGTTCGATATTTTAATTGTTCTATGCATTTAAAAAAATATGCGTTATGTAATTCTCGAAATCGCGCAAAATGTGAAAAAGTGTAATAAATATTAGTTTATTTATAATTGTATAGGGTACGATAAGGTATTATAGTCATCCTAAGGAAATATTTTGATATATTTATATGTACTAAAGAATAAAAAAATCTTATACATACCATTTGATAGATTTGTTGATGTTTTATGTAAGTATTGAAATTGATTATTTTAATGCAATTGAAATTGTAATGGTGGCGGGTACTCTTATTACTTGCCCAATGCTCATATTATCCTCGGTAGGCTAATATAAGCATCCTTAGGGGTAGGGGAAAGTGGTGTAATTGTGCGCACCTAAGAAATTTATTGCCCTGGAATGGTTTTCCAACTTTAAATAATATTTAAATATTATATAAGTATGGAATATAAGTATGGAAATAGAAAGTATAAACATTCTTCTACCATTACGTATTCTCATATCGAACAGATTTTCATTCAATAAGGTTGTATTTAACCAAAAGAAAAAACGGAAAAACGAAAAAATTTCACGCGCATCGGGTAATTGTACGTAAAACAAAAGTCGTAAGAAATTAATGAATTGTGGAATGTTGACAAAGAAATCAAAAAATATATTTATTATATTGCAATATAAATATACAATAAATACATTTTAAATATATATTGTATATATTAAGAAAAAATACAAAACTAATATAATAATAATGTATATACTTTTGCAAAATGAAATGGCAAAATAAAATAGTAATGCTAAGAAGAAACGAAAAAATTAGTGCTAGTTATACAATATGGAAGATGGGTTTTTATTTTTTATAATTATGCGCATTTCAAAACGCTTGCGCAGTTTCTCGTCGCGATCTGACTCGGTACGAAATACGATTACTTCAACAATTCCTAACTAAACTTCATAAATAACAGCTCAAAAGATGCACATAATAACATACTTTAATAACATATGCAACTTTAAACAAACAAATTAAAAATATGTACTTACCGCTTTATTTTTTGAATGCTAAAATAATAATAAGAAAAGGTATGATTTCACTTTTTTGTGATTTCTCTGGCTAGCAATGTATTTACGTCGTATCTTTGGTAGTTATATCTTAAGAGGATGACCTCCTGCGTAAAAATTTCACCACGGTGATGTCTTTATCTATTGGAAAAGTACCAAACCAGGATGCGCACAATTCCCCCATTTTCCCCTAATATAAGCACAGGAAACTTTTTGTAAGAAATTACGCAGAAATGAAAGATTGAAATGTGTGTGTGTGTGTGTGTGTGTGGAACATTTTATTAGAACAAATGCCAATTAAATGTTTGGTTAATATAACAAAAAAATAATGTTACATTTACAAATGGTAACAGTTTGGTAATATTTATTAAATATTTGTAAAAATTAACATTATTTTTAGTTACATTAATCAAACATTTGATTGGCATATTATTTCACTATACATTTAACAACTATTACCAAACTTTAAAGGAATCAATCCTTGTTAAAAAACTGTACACTAATGTACCGTGATTGTTATTGCTATAATTATGGCAATACAACCCATTTTATTGCTAGCATTGCTATTATATTGTTAACCCTAAGCCGAACATGGATACAACGTACTCTATGCGATTTTTTACATTGTTGTAACTTTTTTATAATATAATTTGAAGATCCAGATTGAGGCTGAAAAAAAAACTTTAATTGTCCATAGATACGATAAGCCTGCAAGGGTATTTTTTTTATTAGTCCAAAGGATCAATTTAAAAAATCCTACGGATTTTTGCTTGAACATTAAATTTAAAAATTTGAGAATTTTTTATCCAAAAAGTAATTATTTTGCGAATATTTTCAATAAAATTTTTTTGAAGTATTCTAATTAATTGAAGATAAAATATTATTTATTCTAGGTATAGATTTCACACGTTTTGAGCTAAAAAATACGTATTCAGTCCAAAGATATAGCATGACAAAGTTGCAGGGTTTCACATACCCTGGTTAGATCGGAAAGGTACTAAAAATAAGTCTAGCTTTCTAGGGTTAATATTGTTATCCTATGATTGCTACCTATTGCGTACAATATTGCCGAGTATTATTAATGTATTGTTATGTATTGTTATGTATTACTATGTATTGCTAGCGTATTGCTAGTACTTCTACTGTTAGTATTGCCTATTTTATTACTGTACTGTCGCAATATATTTCTAAAGAAATGTACACTGATTGCCATAGTGGTTGATCCCTCGCCAAATTCTTTTTTTAGTGTAAGAATAACGATAAGGAATAATGAAGATGATTTATAATACATATCCATGCATACCTATCCGAAAAACTCCCATGTCTAATAAATCAATAATAGTCTCGGGACTTTATGAAGTTAGAATGACTCAATATTGTTTACTTAATAAATATTAACACGCACAACAATATCTTATCTCAATGTAGAGACTTTATGAAGCTAGAGGAAAAAAGTAAGAAATAAAAAAATAACATATCTACTTATTTAATATGATAAATATCCAAAGTACATAAATTTAGCTCAAACTTCACAGCATATCGGAATGCCGAGAAGATAAACGCATCTTTTTACAATAGTTGACACTATTAGTACCAACCGTTACAGAAATATAAAGGGTGCTCATATTACCTGCAATGCTCCTAATACCCAATCCTACCGTATATTATTATTTATATAATTTATAATTTTTATGTAAATTATCATGATTTATATGTATTTTGAATATCATTTGTAACTTACATCAAAAATATCTACGCGTCGAAAGAGAAAGGAAGAAAACAGAAGTAAAGCGCTTATTAAGTTTTGTATTCTTTTTTGTACCTTTGCTTGAATATGAAAGAATTAATATTTAAAGCTCCGAATATGAACAAATATTTTAGTTTATTTAATTATTAATTCAAGATTAACATTATATAATAAAACATGAATTATTAATGGATATTAAATGGAATTAGCGGAATTTTTACGAGACTGCTCGATGAGATTGTCTTTCCGGTTCATACCTCGTTATCAGCAATTCAATTGTACATACAGGTGCTGCCGACTCGGCGCGTAGGCGGGTGCATGTATCGATCACTGATAGATCACGAAGGTCGCGATCGCATCGATAAGAATCTGTTGTTTCTGATGCGGCTACGATCGTCCTACGATTTTTTACTGAGAAACAGACAAGGATAAATATTTATATTCAAGTATAGTTTTAGTATTTTTGTATTTGACATTTTTTTAATGTAATGGTTCAATATTTAAGTTATATAATAATATTTAAAAGGATATTATCTACTATATATATAATATATATATATAAAGAAATTTCAATTGTATTATGAAGATATTTTTTACAATTTTATGTATACATATATGTATGTATTTTTTTCTCGGAAATGTGAAATTTTCATTCTTTGTCCGCAATCTGCGTCTTCGAACTTCAGTACAGATTTGTATATTGTTCCGAATTGTGTAAAAACCTAAAAAAATTTTTGCATACTTGTGAAAGCTTTAACAACGAGTTTCTACTATTATAGAAGTTAGATTGCACTTTAATAATTTTTTACAGATTAATATTATAATAAAACCGGGCAAAAATTAGAGCTAATACACAGTTGTTATTTGTGTCTGTTAAAAAATTTTTCTTTTCTATTTATTCATACAATATACAACAATTGATCAACGTTTCCGGCTGCTCTTTACAGCCATTCAGGATAATCCATCACAAATTTAAGTCCAATTATTCTCAATAAATAAATAAATGCAAGTGCATTTCCAAAAACCTTGAGTGATTCCTCATTAAATTGTAAGCACAGCTCTTTTTAATCAATGTCGAAATTGTTAACGGTTTTAAGAAATTGCACTTCCATTCTGTTACAAAAATCTTCAATGATGTGGTGATGGAAAGGAAAATTTTTTGTATAACATACAAATAACAACCGTGTATTAGCTCTAATTTGGCCGGTTTTATTGTAATATAATATTATTTTGATTATCGAGAGCTCTAAAGAGCTCTAAGCTGAAAAATTGTTTTACTGTCGTTAATTTTTTACAGAAAATTGACTATATACATACAGGGTGTTTGGTAGAGACCATAATAATGCTTAAGGGTAGATTATTCCTGAGATTATTTTAAAACAAAAATTCTAATATCAAAATATCGAAGCTTAATAGTTTTGAAATTATAAGTATTTAAAGTTATACTGCCTAAAGTTCGCGCGTTTAGGTGCGATTGGATTTTTTATTGTGTCATATCTAAACGCGCGAATTTTAAGCGATATAATTCGATAATTTTAAGTACTAATAATTTAAAAATTATTAAAATCTTGATATTTTGGTATTAGAATTTTTGCCTCAACATGATCTCAGGAATCTATCTTTAAGCGTTGTTTAGTCTTTACCAAACACCCTGTATATATAATTATAATTATAATAATCTTAAATATCCTTTTAATGTAATAAGCAAGTATGTTACAATTATTACGAATCTATTTACTACGGTTAACAATTCTGTTCCTCCTGTTGTGTCGTCATACTTATGAAATGATTCGTACATATGCTGTGATTTTGATGAAAAGCGCGAAAGCGAGTATTACAACTTTCTAGATAATCGTATTATTCATTTTCGCGATAGTGCGAGATCACGTAATTATTCCTATGTTTTAATGCAACGCAATAATAAGCGTTTGTCAGTCTTTCTCGGGAATTCCGGAAAGCGATAGAGAGCGATATCCTCGTTTGCGGTTTTCGCAAGATAATTTATTATGAGAATTTCGCGTGGGTCTCCGATTTAATTCCATACTGGAAGGCCCGAAAACTTTAGGCTCGCCTTCGACTTTTATGAATAGACACGTGTTTTGTTCTAAGTGCAGTTATTGTTTCAATCTTTGATCTTCTTTGCTTTATATCCACCTAATAAAGACAAATATGAGCTAAATTGCCTTTATTACTATTTAGTTTTGATTTTTTATTCATTGACCTAATAGACCTGTTCTTTTCAACTGAACTTCTTGCGCGGATCAGCATTCCTCTTTTGCTCTCCATATTGAAGAAAAAAAAAGAAAAAGATGAATAGTGTAAAAAGAACAGGTTTAATACCTTTTTTTTTATTTCAATCTTCTCCAAATCTCTAATTTATTGCGTTTTTTCCAATCTTCTTTACAGTTTTAATTTATCGAAATTAACTTTAAGATCAAGCTGCATCTTGGAAATGCTTAATTATATCCAGAATGTTATCAGATTTAATTAATTTTAATTAAGCTTATGTAAATCCATATAATGAGAGAGAGAGAGAGAGAGAGAGAGAGAAGAAATATATAAATAACATAGGTCACCAAACGTATACGTTCTCAATCTTCAATCCTCTTCAAACTTTAATTTTTTTTAATTTCTTTTCATTTGCTTTATATTGAAGGATTAATAAATTAAAAGTTAAAACTAAACTTTTTTTTTATCCTCTTGAAACATTCAATTACGCTTAGCGCGCTTTCAGGCTTAATTAGTTTCACGCGACGACCTCTTGCTCGTGTTTCCAGGTTAGATAAATGGTGAGATCCAAGCGCAAGCCATGTATAATCTGAACGTGAATGTGAATCCCAGCCCAACTGGGGCCGTGGGTCTTCTCGGTGTCACGGCGGCGGCGGCCGAGGTCACGCCAAGGACACCGGAAATCGTAAATTCGCTGATCGCCATGACCAATCCCTTCGAGGGCTACGGCAGCGGCAACGAAAGGGGCACACGAGATCGCACGGACTCGACCAGCAGTGGCGAACCGAGCCCGCCAAGCGTCCAGCACACCTGTAGTCAGCTTATCAAGGAAGGTAAATGAAGATCACATTTTCGATGCTCATTTATATCTACATATTAAAGACTGCACCTAAATAGTATTACGATAGTAGGTATATCATAGACCTGTTCTTTTTAGCTGAACTTGCACGGTTTATCTTTTCTGTTTTTCTGTCCAACATGAAGACAAAAAGAAGAACCGTGCAAGAACTTTAGTTAAAAAGAACAGACTTTATATGTGCTCAACAAAAATGAGAGACAAAAAGCATGAAGACAGCCAAAATTTTCCTCTCTTTCTGAAATATTGTAATTGGATAAATAGAAAGGAATGGAGATTAATCGTCTTTCTCACATTTTTATCGACAAATTTTACATACGGATGGCGCAATCCATGCTCTATGTTTTTTAATACATATAATATATCTACACATAGAAGTGTTTCAGTGAGCAAAATTTGCGAAGTATTTCTTTAAAACTTAAGAAGTCGATTTTCTTTTAAATAATAAAGATGACAATCAATATGAATGAAAATCAATAAGATGCTTATTTTGTAAAGCATAGACTAAAACTAATGAGATTAATAGATGCTTTCGTATAAAATTCTTTTTTCAAGAGATTTCAAACACACTTAAATATATTATGAGATTTTTCAGAATATTAATTTATTATATATATATATATATAATATATACTGAGATATTCTTTACTCTTAAAAAGTCAAAGTACATGTGTAAATGGATACGTGTGAAAATGTGTACACGTATGTGTCGAATATTTCAAATCTTTATATTTATCAAATAAATCAAGAGCTACAATTCTATATTATAACAAATATATCAATAATATATTAAATTAACAAAAGTAATATATTTAATTAGTAATTTTTAATTTTTTAAAAATGTCTGTTTAAAAAAAATGTTTTTCTTTTTCTTTTTATATTTGTAAATATCAGATTGCGATAACATTAATTGCTTTATATTTCTTATAAAATATACAAACTGCAAGAAGTCTAAGTTGAAATCTAAGCGATATTTGCATTTATTCCACCCACTTTAGCCACATTTAACAAATGTCAATGACAATATAGTTCGTTCTGCTATATATAAGTGCTTCTCTTTCTTTCCCTCTTTATTTCTTTACTTTTTTACCTTCACTTTATGCACAGCATTAAATTGCAAATCTTGTTCCTTTCAAATTACAGATTACGTAACACACGCACACACGCAATCGCAAAGGATTATTATCGTAATTGCTTTTGCGATTTTGTGTTAGCGCCGGTTATCCTGATCTATTACATCAACCGTCAAATTAATTAATTAAAATTTTTTAAAATTATTTTCGATATGTGTGTGTGCGGAATGTAGAGTACGTGAGTTTAGAGTGATACGCTTTGATAATGGATTGTATATCGCGACACTACTGGCACAATAATCCTTAATTATCGCGATTTAATCCCTCGAAGGTTACGAGAATGTCCTTGTATCGCGTGGAAATGTTAGCGATTACTGACATTTTCTATGGTATTAATACGTTGTGCGTTGCAATATTTTCAAGTCCACTTTCCGGCGGAAGTCTATAATTTATTGCGACGTTAAACAATTATATTCGCGCAATCTAATCTTTTTATTCTTTGTAATAAATGTTATTCTCGAATTATCATTGTAATATGTAATTATACTTACATATTACACAATTATAATTACATTTAAAGTTTTATTAATGCTATTAGTATTTGAACTATTGCAACTAATTTCTATTATTCAATAATAAATATAAATATATACGGGTATTCCACCTAATATGACCTTAAATCTTTGCAAGGTAAGGTCGGATAAAAAACATGTTCAGATAAAAATTGACCTAATAGGTGAATTTTTTTTTTAAATTGATGTTGCCATACAACTTTTGAACATATTTTTTATTCAATTTTACTTTGCAAAGATAAAATGAGGTTCACGTTAGATGGATACCCTGTATGATATACATAGATAACCGTTGTGATCGAAAATAAAATTAATAAAGGTATTATATGTATGCAATATTTTTTAAAATAAATGAAGAGAGAAACTAAATTGATTAATTCAATTAATATTTATATTATGATTTTTAGTTTATAAAAGTCACGAAAAAAAAAAAACTAAAAAATGAGTTGTTATAAACTTGAATTTTTATTGAAAAAATTGCAAACCAATTATTTTGATTATTGATAGCATTTCCAATTGTTAATTCCAATGATAAAAATGAAAAATCTTGCTACTTTAAAATTAAAGTTAAAATTAATTAAAATTAAAACTAATTATTGTAATTTAAACTAAAAATCGGAATTTATTATATAATATTTTAGTGAAAACAAGGAAAGAGTTCCTCCTTTTTATCACAACGTCTAATTACAATCTAACTTTTCTGGGTAATCCTAATGGATTTGCATTACCCGCATATTGCAAGTGACGACTGTTATGGCCTCGGCGATGTACCTGCGAGCGAAATTAATTAATGAGAATTAATTAAACTCTTCTTTGGACAGGGCTGAAACTAACGTTACAGACGAAGAGGCGGGCGAACAGTAGTGGCGACGATGGTAAGAAGAAAACGAAAAAGGAGGACAGCGGCGCTGACGATGAGGAAGAGGATGAGATGAGCATTAACAATACTAAGAGTGGTGTAAGTAAATCTTCGTATTTTTTGAATACTATTTTCCTCAGAATCAACTTAACTTCACGCAGACTTTTTCCGAGAGCTTCTTAATAAGAATTATCACTTTTTATATTCTTCCTTAATTCTTTGTGTGTTTTCATTAATTTTTCAGTTTTATTATATACAAATTATATTAATTATCTTGAAAGTAAGAAATTATCATAATTTTTTGTGTTAGGAAAACAAGTATCAATAACATTAAAAATTATAAAATTTATAATTTTATTGGAAATATTTAATAAAATGAAAATAATTTAGATTACAGAGAGTTAAAATTGATTTTGTTAAAGATAATTTCTTATTTTCATGTAATTAGTAATGTATAAATAAAATTTTATAATTGTCTCTCTTTCGAATTATTTTCCTTTTTTTATCAATTCTAATATGAATATTTAGGGAGTAAGAATAAAATAAGAAAAAGATGTTACATTGCGTTTTAATTTGTAACAAAAAATTAAGAGACATTATACCTTTGATATAAAATTAAAAGAAATTGTACAATATATAAAATTGTATATAAAAAACAATTTGTTAAAAATTTTTTTCTTATTTTTTTATATTGCAAAAGAGAATCTCTCCAGTAGTCTTGATTTACCAGAAAAGTGACAATTCTGCTCACTAAAAACGGAATAGATTACATATTTTACACACACACACACACACA